TCCTATCCATCCTATCCATCCTATCCATCCTATCCATCCTATCCAACCTATCTTTCTAATCCATCCTATCCATCCTATCCTGAGCAGGCTTGTCTAAACAGGAAGGTTTTACTCCAGACCAGAGAGATCAACCTGTACGAACAGGAAGGTTTTAGAAATCTAAATCGATTTTATCTTCTTCATAATTGATCAAGAAATAAATTACGGTTTTTAAGGGTGTCATTGTGAATTGGTCATGTCCTTTAAAATTACTTGAAATAACTCTTACATTCTTGTTAAGCATTACAAATGTATTTTATTATAGCCCCTTATTTTTAGTCATCATAAATAATTATCAATATTATTAATATTCATTGAAAAGAAAAGTGACTTGTAAAATCCTTGTTTTAGAAACAATTGAGAAATTGCTTAAGAAGTAAATACATGTTTTAGCTAAAAAATGACTTGATTTTTGTCACAAAATCAAATTTTCTAGTCCTTATTTCTTAGAAACTTGATGGTGCAAACCTTTGATCTACCTAAACTTGATCTACCATAATTCATAGTTTGAAATATCTAAGGTCTAAGGCATTGGGTTGCAAAGATAAAGAGATTAGAAAATTTGAGTTTGTGGCAAAGACTCTTTACCTTTAATAAATTTATTAAATTCAAGGGTGTTATTAAGGGCGGATCAAACCATTATCTGATCTCAGGAGGGGGGGGGGGGGCATAATTGCACATGCAAAAAAACTTTCGCCCCCCCCCAAAAAAAAAAATTGAACAAAAAGCCGTAAACTTCAATTTCATATTTGTTCAAAAAATTTAAGTTTACCAACTCTTACTTTTACTCTATTAACTCCAGTTCTCCCAATTTCTGCCAGTAAACTCTAGTTCTCCTACTTCCTATCTGTAAACTCCAGTTCTCATAAGGTCTCTATCTGTAAGAACTCAGTTCTCCTACTTTCTATCTGTAAACTCCAGTTCTTAGCTTTCTATCTGTAGACTTCAGATCTCCTACTTTCTATCTGTAAACTCTAGCTATCCTTCTTTCTATTTGTAAACTCCAGCTGTCACACTTTTTATCTGTAAACTTCAGTTCTCCTACTTTCTATCTGTAAACTCCAGCTCTCATACTTTCTATCTGTAAACTCTAGTTCTCCTACTTTCTATCTGTAAATTCCAGTTCTCACACTTTCTATCTGTAAACTACAATTCTTACACTTTCTATCTGTAAACTCCAGTTCTCATGCTTTCTGTCAGTAAACTCCAGTTCTCCTACTCTCTATCTGTAAACTTCTGTTATCACATGTTCTATCTGTATTTTTACAGGCATATTAGTTTAAATAATAAGATAGGAAACAATTTTTTTGGGGTATTTCTGGACCTTTAATTGAGAGATTTGACTATGAATTCTGTTAGATTAAATAATCTAAGCTTGAAATATCAAAGGTTTGCACCATCAGTTTGAAAATTTTGTGGCGAAAATTTCAATTCCTTTCTTTGATTCTCGCTTCTAATTTATAGTTATTGTTATAGTTATTATTAATACTTATAGAAAACATACTATATCAATTATTATTATTCTTATGATTTTTATTATCATCATCATCCAAATAATGGTGATATGGATTAATTTTATAAAGCTAATCTTTATGTTACTGTCATTATATGTGATATTCTACTTGAGCGTATAATCAAATCGGTATAGAAACATTTTCGCTAAACCCTATAAATGTGCTTGTTTGCTTGCGTTTTTTGCGCTGACACTAAACAAAAAGGTCCTGACAGCCGTTTTTTGGTCCTGATAACCCTACTGTGAATGCGATGGTCCTGATAGCCGGAGAGGTCCTGGTAACCCTACGCTGTATGCGAAAATGTCCTGATAGCCCGTGGGCAAATAAGAGCGGCCAAACGGATGCACCGATTGGGCTGAAACTTTTTGTGGACACCCATGGGTAGCCACTCAGTGTTATAGTTTCTTATAAAATATAAAGTTTAAATAAGAAAATAAATGTTTGATAATGTGTGCTTTAAACTTTACAGTTTTTAGGTTTTTACTTTACGTATTTTTATGTTTTTTTCTTTACTTAATTTTTTTTATAGTTTTAAAGTTTGAGGCAAACTTAATAATACATATATTTTCGTAAATTTTATACCAAGTAATTTTTCTATGTGTAAATATATTTACGGAACCTTTACTGCACAAAAATGCATTTTATGGTTAGAATTTTTTTGTACTTCTTTTAAGAGAATTGTTCTGTAAGAAATTTAATGCAAACATTGTGGAAAATGCAATGTTTCAAAATTGCTAGCATTTTTGAGTAAATTGGTGTTTTTATTATAATCAATGTCAGTAAATTCTCGATTTTTTGATAATTAGAAGATTTACTTTGACAGTTTTGTAACAGGTAACATGGTAATTGTATAAAGTATAACACATATTGATTACGTAATTGTTAAAAATACAGATAAATTGCATATATTAATGTTGATTTAGATGGATCAATTATACTCCACTTTTTAACATTTTTGTTTTAGAACTTGAAAAATACGTATTTTTACATATAGGTAATACTGAAAAATTCCAAAAATTAACAAATGTTTGGAATTTTTAAAACATAAATCTACGTGTAGGAAAAACTTAAAAGTTCCTGATTCATTGGATTTTTTAGGTTTTTTACATACCTATTTATACATTGGTCAAATACGTATTTTTATGGATAGAAAAATAAAAATTTTTACCAAGGAAATGGTTAGGAACTTACGTATGTCATACATATGGAAAATAAGTGTTTTAAACATATTCCTAAACCTAAAAATACGTATTTATACATATGTCAGAGTTCTCCAATGGGCATCACGGAGGGAATTAATTTTCACTGGAGGGGTTCGAAAAAATGCTTTTTACAATTTAAAACTTTACACAGGGTGATTTATATTCCACTGGAGGGATTCAGATATCTTTCCATGTAAGATCTAGAGATCTTTATATGACTATTCTTCAGGTTGATTCACGAAGCATGAGCTACTCTGCGAAGTGTTCAAGACTCTAATATTCTATCTACAAATATTTATTCTACATTTATGAGATTTATCATAAAACTATATTTACTGGAATTTTTAACCTGAGAACTAGAATTTTAAATTACATGCCTAGCCTATATATATAGTCTCAAAGTTTACTTCTTAAAACTTATATTCAAACATATATTTAATGGCCCTTATGTTTCAGAACATAATGGGATAGATTGTTTTTTATTAAACGAATGTCCTGTTAAATCCAGGTTGTGCACTCAAGGTTTATTAAACATCTAAATGTGTTTTCTGATTTTCAACGAACATTAAAGCTCTATTCTAAACTGAGAGATTAATCGATGTTTATAAAAGTGATTCCAGTTAATAATCTCGTGCTACCACCTGTACTACCTGAAGTCTGAACTTTAAATATAAACAGGTGATCAATTGAGAAACTCCAGTTAAGCTGACTTGGAATTTCATTTAACTCTTGGTTTATCTTTAGATAAGCCTGGTTCCTCTGATCTGAGTTGCTACTCAGATCCTCGTCATCTCAAACCTGCAGTAGCTGCCATCTCTCCGCCGCTGCTGCGATCTCTCCACCATAGCTGCCATCTCTCCACTGTACCTGCAGTCTCTCCGTCGTAGCTGCCATCTCTCAGCCGTAGCTGCCATCTCTCCTCCGTAGCTACCATCTCCCGCCGTAGCTGCCATCTCTCCTCCGTAGCTACCATCTCCCGCCGTTGCTGCGATCTCTCTTTGGATGAAGTAGAACTACGCTTGAAGATAAAGCTGAATTATAAAAGGTGATGATTAACAGATTGAAACTAGTTACTCAAAGGATTAAATAAACTAATTTAATCTCGTTTAGATATCTCCTCTATCAACCCTGAGTGCTAGATTAACTCCTGTAATCTCCAAGATGATCTTACCTGTACCTTCTATTCCCCAGTCTCTGTCCGGATAACAATAGGTACATATTGGTTTCTTGTGATGAGTGTGAGCTACTTCTTCGAGTTATAAACAATTGAAAACACATATTGAAAGTTAAAGTCTATATCTTTCAAATGAACTCACCGTGATATTTTTAGTTGTATACGAGATATGTTGGCTAAGATATAATGAGCTATTAACCTCCGGCCGTATCAACTTTGTAAGTGCATTTTTAAATCACATTAGTATGTTATGAAATATTCACATTACACACATGGAGCAAATTTTATTGGCTAACTTTACATGTTTATTATTTTACGATTTATTTAACATTCATAATATAAATAATCTAACCGTGATTCAGATATCCTTCCTATGGGTTTATAATTCCACTGGAGGGATTTAGATATCTTTCCTGGGGGTTTATGATTCCACTGGAAAGATTCAGTTATCCTTTTTGAGTATTATAATTCCACTGGAGGGATTCAGTTATCCTTTCTAGAGGCTTATAATTCCACTGGAGGGATTCAGATATCCTTTCTGGGGTTTTATAATTCGACTGGAGGGATTCAAATATTTTTCCAGGTGGTTTATAATTCCACTGGAGGGATTCTGAAATCTTTCCAGGGGTTTATAATTCAACTGGAGGGATTTAAATATTTTTTCAGGGTGTTTATAAATTCACTGGAGGGATTCAGATATCCTTTCTGGTGGTTTATAATTCCACTGGAGTGATTCATATAATTTTCCAGGGGGTTTATAATTCCACGAGTGTTTTTAATTACATTGGATAAATTCAGGTATCCTTCCTGAGGTTTGTAAAAATTGTGATTCCACTGAAGCGATCCAAATATCTCTCCTGAGGGTTTATTATATCACTGAAGGGATTCAGATATCTTTCCTAGGGGTTCATAATTCCACTGGATGGATTTCTTCCAGGGATTCTGAATCCCTCCAGTGGAATTATAACCACCCACAGAAATAATAAACCCTTTGGATGGATAACTGAACAACTCCAGTGGAATTAGAAACCCCTAGGAAGGATAACTGAATCCCTCCAGTAGAATAAGAACCCACCAGGAACGACATCTGAATCCCTTTAGTGGAATTATAAACCCCTTGGAAGGATAACAAAATCCCTTCAGTGGAATTATACCCCCCACCAGGAAGGATTTCTGAATCCCTCCAGTGGAATCATAAACCCTTAGGAAGGACAACTGAATCCCTCCAGTGAAATTATAAACCCCTTGGAAGGATAACTGAATCCCTCCAGTGGAATTATAACCCCCCAGGAAGGACATCTGAATCCCTCCAGTGGAATTATAAATCCCTAAGAAGGATAACTGAATCCCTCCTGTGGAATTAAAAACCCCTTGGAAAGACATCTGAATCCCTCCAGTGGATCGGGGGCCTAACCTAACCCTAAATAAATCTTTTATATGGATAAAGCTCTGGATTGATTCTCCATAGAAATGATATTAACTGGATCAAGTAGAATCTTTAAAAGGTTTTAGCCTCGTAGAACATAAATATGAAGGTTTTTATTGATCATACTTCAATGGTATCATATAGATAGGGTAAAGTAAGCCAGTGATATGAAGTCTTGAGAGCCGAGACCCAGTTTGAAATAAAACCTTATACCATGAGCGGGGTAAGGCAGGCGGCCATGAGCCACCACTATTTTCCCTTCCGGGCCACATATTAGCTTTTTTCTCTTCCAGCAGCCATGAGCCACCACTATTTCCCCTTCCGGGCCACCACATTTGACTCTTCCGGGCAAAATTACTTTTTTAAATCGTATATTTAGGGCCTTTAAAGTGTAATTTTTAAAAATCCAGCCACGTCACGCTATAAATATATATATTTAGATCTTTATATTTCAGTGTTAATATGTAATAAGGATGATTCCTCTTAATGTAAACTGTAAAACTTTTTTTTTCAAATCTAAATTCTGATTTGCCTAAAAAATGGCTTATTTTTAAGAGCAATATCAATTTTAAAAATGACCCACCATAAAATACACTTTAGTTTTGAAGGGAACCCTTGTGTGAAAATGTGCAATGTGTTAAGAGAAAAAAAAATGTATTCTCAAATCTAGAAATATATATTCCTAAATCTGCAATTCTTCAAGCGAGAAATATATATTCTCAAATCTAGAGATATATTATCAAATCTATAAATTTATTCTCAAATCTAGAAATATACTCTCAAATCTAGAAAAATATTCTTAAATCTAGAAATATAAATTCTCTGAAAATCTTATGTTAATTATTCGGCTAAGTGTAAAAATTATGTTAATTATTCGGATAAGTGTGGTAATTGTGCTAATAATTCATCAAACACAATTCCCCTACTTAGCCGAATAATTCACACAATTCCCCTACTTAGCTGAATTATTAGCACAATTACCACACTTAGCCAAATAATTAACATAATTTTCACACAAAGCCAAATTATTTTAGAAAAAACCGAGTGCGTACAGATTTTAAAATGAGTGCAAACACTTTTTTATTTGGATGAACAGATTTCTCCTTCGGATAGGCCGGAAAATATAGTTTCTGGCCTATCCAAACTTTTCTTCGGTCAAGCAGGGTTTTTGACGAATTCCTAATCTTTGGCTAAGATTTTATCTCCAGCTAAGCATTAAAATTTGGGTAGAAAATCCTTTACAACAAAGAAGATTTTGTCGTTTTTATCTTTGTAAAAGTGTTTAATTCTTTAACTTACTTTTTGTTTCAGCTGTATAAAAATCACTTTTGAAGGAAACCACATCCAGAAATTGTCAATTTTTAAGTAGAAAAACAAAGATAGTTTTGATTGCTCATACAACGGTGTAGATGGTACCGTTGTGAATTGAGCGCCTCTTAAAATGAAATGTCACTTGAAATTTAGACATCAGTCCAATTAAGTTAAGCACCAATTAATTACTTATGATTTTAATTATTAATTTTATATCAATCTGATAATTTTTTACAGCGAATATATATTTCAGGATCGGTTCATGTTCAAAGGAGAAGAGAATTGGAGTAGGGATGTGTATCCTTGTACCTACTGCAGTAGTGGATTTATATCCCAGGAATTATTAGATAAACATCTTTACTTATGCAAATCTAAGAAATTGCAGGAAGCATCCACTTTTAATACCTGTGATATCTGTAATCATCAATTCTCTTCAATCCAGAATTTGAAGCTGCATACGAATTTATGTCATGGTGTATTCCATTGTCCTGAATGTGAAGAAGTGTTTAGTTCATATGAGAAGCGAAAGACACACCATTCAAAAGTTCATCTTGGTATAACATTGTCCTGTGAAGAGTGTGGGAAAAGTTTTAACAATAAAGGTCTTCTTACTAGACATGTTAGAACCGTACACCAGGAACACCAGGATTATAAATGTAAGCAGTGTGGCAAGGAATTCAATTTACTTGCTAACCTTACCCGCCATGTCAGTACTGTACATGAATTATCAAAACCATACAAATGTACCGTCATAGATTGTGGGATAAGGTTAAGCCAACTTACTGGTCTAAAAACACATATGCAATCTATTCATGATAAAATTAAGTATCCGTGTACTGAGTGTGAGTATCAAGCAACTCAAAAAAGTCACTTAACAAGACACAAAAACAATGTTCACCTAGGAAAATATTCCTTCAATTGCGAGTTTTGTAAAAAACCGTTTAAGGAAAGGCGGACACTAGACTTTCATACAAAGAGTATGCACCCTACAGAGTATTTTAGAATTTATCCAGAAGAGTGCAATACATGCAAGAAAAGATTCAGGGATAAAACCGAACTCGCTCTTCACAACAAGCACACACATAACCATTTGATGGAAATGTAATTTAAACCTTGGTTAACAACCTCCAACCCAGTTTAAACCTTGGTTAACAACCTCCACTCCAGTTTTAACTTTTACAATTTTTCCTTAATTATATGTAAACGATTTTGAAGTAAAATATTTCTAGTTTTAACTTTTACAATTTTTCCTTAATTATATGTATTTTTTAATTATTATTTATTTAATTATATGTAAACGATTTTGAAGTAAAATATTTCTAGTTTTAACTTTTACAATTTTTCCTTAATTATATGTATTTTTTTCCCAATTTTAAACTGTATATTTTAAAATAAATTGGTATAAAAGGATATCAAGCTTAGTCTAAATCTGATGATTATTATCAACAAATAAACACCCTAGTGTATCAACTATGTGTCTTTTTTTCTCTGTTGGCAAGGATATGAGATTGGTCTCTGTACGTAATGAGATTGCTCGGTGCTCATCTAATTCTTGAATCAATTCAGTTTCATAGTTTATTAACAGCAGCAAAGATGATAACAGAGTTTGAGGATTTAAACTTTTTTCTTCATGATTTTCCCCCGCCCCTTGCCACTAAGCTTTGTTCAGGAGAATAGGTAAAGGTTAGGGGATCGTGGAAGGGGGGGGGAGTTGGATGAGGACAGGGATGCAGAGGTGCCATGAGCCCTGTATAAATGATCTCCGAGCCTACAGATTTGCAGAATAATATACTGCCCCGGAATAACCAGAGTGAGTAGCATTTGGTTTGTTCTATTTGAAATCTAACGTGTTTTGGTCTATAATTTAACAGTCTTTTAACTTACGAATTTGTTTATTCTTTACTTTTTCATTTAAAATGTATATGCAGACAAAAAAATATTTAAAAAAGGTTTAAAAATTATGTTTAATTGGTCACACTGTGATCGAAAGTCACAGCTTTCTGGAATATTGACAGAACTGTTAAATCCACATTCTATAGGCCTAGCGAAAAAGTAATAAATTAATCTTTATAAAACTTAAGTACAGGACAGGACATGTTATAGGTATTGAGACTATTTGAAAAAAAAATCAACTTTGTAAAAAATAGTTCTTGAATGTTTTCTAAAGCATACAATAAAAGCAGAATTTCAAGGATTTAACAAAAACTAGTGCGTTTTGTAAAATGCCGCTGATAATGTTTGATTTGTGCATGCAACCCAAGTAAAATAACATTGTAACATTGTATCAAATAGTATGTATGAAAAGAAAACAAACAAAGCTTAAAAATCATTTCAGTATTACTGTACAATTGGCCGTCAA